GGCCCAGACCGTCCGGGCCCGGTCCGTACACGATGAAGACGAACGTCATCAGGCAGCACGTGCCTTGGATCGTCCCGTACACCAGCATGTCCGTGATCAGTTCCCACGTGAAGACGCCCTTTTTGTTGTCGTGCGGCGGCCGCTCCATCACGTCCGGCGACGCCTTTTCCCGGCCCAGCCCGAACGCCGGGAACGACGAGGTGAGCATGTTGATCCAAAGGATTTGCAGCGGCGAGAGCGGGAACACGGAAAACCCCGTGTCGTCCTGGAACCCCAGGCCGCAGATGAGGAGGATGACTTCGCCGACGTTGGACGTGAGGAGGTGCAGCACGAAGCGTTGGATGTTGTCGAACATGCGGCGGCCCTCCTCGACGGCGTTGACGATGGACGCAAAGTTGTCGTCCGTCAGCACAATGTCCGACGCCGACTTGGCCACGTCGCTCCCGTTGAGGCCCATGGCGATGCCCACGTCGGCGAGCTTCAGCGACGGCGAGTCGTTGACCCCGTCGCCCGTCATGGCGGCGAATTTCTTCCGTCGGTGCAACGCCTCGATCATCCGGACTTTGGTCTCGGGGGCGCAGCGCGCCGCCACGAGGGGCAGGGTCGGCAAAGCGTCGATCTCGGCGTCGGTCATCCTGTCGAATTCCGTCGCGGTCTTGACAATGGCCGCCGCCACGTCCGGTGCGAGCGCGCCCATGTTTTTGGGAATGATGCCGACTTCCTTGGCGATGGCGGTCGCCGTGGACGGGTGGTCACCCGTCAACATGGACACGGTGATCCCGGCGGTCGTGCAGGCCTGCACGGCGGCTTTGGTCTCGAGGCGGGGCGGGTCGTACAGACCAGCGAGACCCAGCAGACAGAGATCCTTTTCGACAACGCTCCGGTCCACGTCGCTGTGTTCCTCGATTTCCAGGGTCGTGTCTCTCCTGGCGATGGCCAGCACTCGCAAGCCCTGTTCGGCGAGAAACGTCATTTGTTCCAGAATGGCTTCCTTCAGGGTCGGAGTCATCTCTTCGTGCTTATCCCCCACGCCCACGGACGTGCAGAGGTCGATGATGCGTTCGACCGCGCCTTTGGTGAAAATGAGAGAGTGTTCCAGGCCGGGTTTCGTGTACACGACCGACATGCGCTTGATGGAGCTGTCAAAGGGGTATTCCATCTTTTGTACCCACCCGCTCTCCTCGAGCGCTTTCTTGCCGTAGTTGAAGCGGTGCGAGAAGACCTGCAGGGCAATCTCGGTCGGGTCGCCCGCCGTCTTCCACTTCTCCTCCTCTCCGTCCTCGGCGACCTTGCGGACGGTCGCCAGGTTGCAAAGGGCTGCGGATTCCAGGAACGCCTGGAGTTCAGGCGTGACCTCCGGGTTGGACTTGACGTCGGTGTCGGATTTCTCCGAGGCCTTTTCGGCGTCCTTTTGCAGTTTCTCACTCGGGAGATCGAAAGAGATGCCTGCAGTGCTTCGCTTGCGGTCAAAGGCTTCTTCCCTGGCGAGTCTCTCCGCCTCGACTTCCTGCCGCGACCTGGGCGCCTTGCCGAGCGTGACGGTGCCTTCTGTCGGGTCTGACGCGTTGTTGGAATTCTCCACACTGTAGATGCCGACACCGGGAATCCATGCCTTTCGCGTCACCATCTTTCCCTGGGTGAGAGTGCCGGTTTTATCCGAGCAGATGTTGGTGACACCGCCCAGGGCTTCGAGTGCACTGAGTTGTCGGACGACCACCTTGCGTTTCCGCATCTGCGTCATGCCCACGACCATGGTGATGGTGAGGACGGCAATCAAAGATTCGGGAATGATGGCAATGCCCGTGGAAATGGCGTAGATGGCAACCTCGTTGGTGACGTTGAATCGGTTGACCCCAAACACGATGATGGCCAGGAGGATGGCACAACCGAAGAGGACGTAGGCGAGTTTGCTGAGCTTGATCTGTAGAGGCGTGCCGCCGGTGAGACCGAGGAATTTGCGCACACCGTCGTATGTACGCAGCGCACCTCCCTTGACGGGCTGCATGGGACCGTACTTCTTCCTCGACATGGAACGATTGGGCTTGCGTTTCTTTCCCTGCATCGAGGCAGCGATCCCTCCAATGGCCGTCGACATGCCGGTGTAGACCACCACGCCGCGGCCTCGGCCCTTTGTCACCGTGGACGACGAGTACGCTATGTTGAGTCGGTCGCCCAGACCTAGATCTTCTTTGGCGATGCCGTGCTTGGTCTCGAATTCGACTTCTTTGGCAACCGGCAGCGCCTCGCCCGTCAAGATGGCTTCGTCGCATTCGAGGTTCATCACCTCGAACAGTCGCAAATCAGCCGGAACCGTGTCCCCAGTCTTGATCGACACAATGTCACCGGGGACGACTTCTGCCGAGGGAATGGTCATCTCGTTCCCATCTCTGACCACCGCTGCCGAAGGGGACGAGAGTGACCGCAAAGCGTCCATTTTCTTCTCGGCCTGAAATTCCTGGTAGAAGCCAATGACGACATTGAGAACGATGACGGCGGTGATGACGGCGCCTTCAACGAAATCCTCCACACCGTACGAGAGTGCCATGGCGAGCACCAACACCTGTAACACGGTCAGCTGGCTCTACAAATCCAAAAGGAAACGGTTGGTAGAGAAAAAATCATACCAGAATCATGGCGTTGGAGATTTGCTTCCCCAGAATGGCATACCAAGAGACCCCTCCATCGCCTTCAAGCCTGTTGGGTCCATACTTCTGTTGGTACTCCTGGACTTGGGCATTGTTCAGGCCCAAGTCGGTGCTGGTCTCTAGATGACTGATGACTTCATCTGGTGAGAGGAGGAAAGGGTGCTTCGGATAACTCTGTTCCGCTCTTGTGCCCTTTTTGCCCATAGCAGGCGGCTATCCAAGGCGGGTTGAATTTATGGGCTGGGCAAAGGGGATTTCGAGGTCTTACTGCTTCCAGATAAGTTGGATGAAGGAGTCTAGCTTGCTCGAAATATCTGTGTCTCGACAAAACCACTGATTCTATGACATAGACAAGCAACAGTGAGTCATGACGTGAAGCTTGAAAAGAGTGAGAGTGGATCCCCCCTTCCCAGATCAAGGGATATGCCGCTGGTTATATAGAGCTGAAGCAGCATCTTATCGGGGTGTTCAAACCCCCGAAGGCCTGAACCCGCACGATCAGGTCCAAGACTTCCACCGTGTCCCTATCCTTGAAGCCAAGAGTCATCTCGCCGATATCTGGTCTTGACACAGCTGTTCTGCGCTCTTGGCGTGGGAATAGTGTCCCCCCAAGGCTACTTCGCGGTGGAAATGTGGCGAGGAGCAGTGCAGGGCGCTCCCATATGTGCGGAATCGGCCAAGCCTGGGCGGAGGTGGAGGCGGGTGATAGGGTTACAGAGGGGAAACACGTCCAAGAAGTCCCAAGAGGAGGGAAACTCCCCTGCTGGGGACTCTGTTTCGCCAGAAGCAATCCGCAGCGACGAGTCGGCATCGTCCGGGGCTCTTGGGTTGGACTTGGTTGACGCAATGGAAAGTCATACGAGCCTGTAAGCGAGCGGAGTCAAGACCTTGGGAAAATCTTGGCTCTTGGCGCCAAGGTCCCTCGCTCAATTGATCGCTTTCGCCGAGGCAGGAGTGGCAGGGAATGCGTGTCCGCCACTCTGATTGTGCTCCCAAATCCTTGGCCACATGGAATCCAACCCACGCATCATCACTTTGTACTCGTACATAACGCCATCTTGTGCGCTTTTGTCCCTTGTCCATGGCATTCCGTGGCGATCTGGGCCAAGCATTTCCGTCTTTTCTTTCTTCTTCCTCGATGAACCATGCATTCCGTCAGTGTCCGGACCACGTGCGAGGCTATCACAGCAAAGAACTACCAAATCTTACAAACGTGGAGCGATTCATGGTTTTCTTGGGTCTTGGGAAGGCAGATCGTGGGATGGGTAATATCTATATCTTTGGTGATCCCGGCTTTTGCATCCGATGTTCGGCTTGCTACCCTTTTTCTTGGATTTCCGAGGACCTGGTACATACCCATTCATGCTCTATATGGGCTGGGATCTCCGCAATTGATAGACTGTCTTTGTCTGAAGGGTTACGATATACAGTACCTATAAGTAGGTAGCTATGGGTTTAGGGAGCTATGGTTGGAATTTGGTTTTTAGCAATGACTTCCTTCCCATCATTCCACAAGCCGAAGCGAAGACAATTTGAAGCAAATGGTTGATCACATACAACAGAAGTTGACCTCAACCTCCCAGTCCCTTCTCGTCTATGTTGTGCTGATATTGTCCATCCACGGTCAACAGAGAATATCCTGATGGGATGGCAACAGACAGGAAGCGACATCGCATTCTGATAGGCGGCCGAATGTAAAGCCTCACGATTTGGCACAGTTTCGCTCTGTTCACTTACTGAGTGGATGCCATCACTCCAACTTGGGGGACGGCTGGCTACGCATAGTCCTTCCCAAGTGCACGAGGATTTGCATCACACCAAAGATCTTGGACAGATATGATAGCACAGACTCCCGTTATCTTGAACCGACAGATTTGGCCGCGGTGAGGATGCGTGGTGGTTCATAATCTCAGACCATCATGTCAGGTTATCCATAAAAGATCTGTCGTCATCCGCATGACAATGTCAATCGATTCCCTGCGGACGAAACCCCACGACTTTCAAGATTGAGTTACGGCTGGTAGATAATATCTTCGACGGAGCCGCTGGACGATGTGGCGGCCCTTGCCGGGCAATGTGTTTGTGTTTGTGAATGTCCAAGTCCCGGTATTGAGGAATGGATGTTTACCAGTAAGTCGCCACACCTTACAAATGGACATGCTTTCGGGGCTTGTTCTAGAGTTCTAGCCTCTAATAGTTAACCGGTTCTCTGGTCTGGTGAACTTGCCGAGACTCTTCGGATCCGGCATCACTCGGTATATCGTCGAGTAGCTGCTCACGCAACTTTTTCCACACCCTCGTCCAGGTCGAAAAATATACCGTTACAGCTCGCTAGACTCAGCCTTCATTGCCGATATGTTAGCAGGAAGGGCGACCGCATTGGTCGGTGCAGGCACGCAAGGTCGACGGCTCGCTTACATGGTGAATATCCGTTCCATCCCTCCGTCGAGTCTGGCCCCATACTGACCTGCCCTGGTGCAAAGTGGTCGAGTCAGGGCCGAGCTGTTCATCTTATTGATGCCCAGGCAAAACAACTTTCCGATAGTGTCAAGTACATTGACCAACTTCGGGCTGCCTCTCAGAATCCAAGCCAACGATGGGGCGAGATTAAAACGTTTACCTCGGACTCGTTACCGGAGGGGTTGAAGGATACGTGGCTGGTTGTGGAGGTACCGCAAGTATCATTGAAGCTGTGAGCTAGGACGTCAAGTTGATGAATATTTCAAAAACAGTGCGTACCGGAGAGGCTGGAGCTCAAGCGACAAATGATCACGAAACTCGACGAGCTGGCGGCCCCCGAGACTATCATCGCATCCAACTCGAGCAGTTATAGCATTTCCGAAATCATTGGTGGCCTGAAATTGCCCCATGAGCGACGCATTCTCAGTGCTCATTGTTGTAAGTACTCGATCAATATCAGAGCAAAGGACCATTCACTGACAAGATATATCATCAAGACTGGCCTCCGGAGACTTCTGGTAAGTCCCGAGTCAAGTCATATCAACTGCTCTCTACTGACCTCGTCAAAGCTATCGAACTCATGGGTCATGCAAATACTGATCCTGAAATCATTCCACTCCTCATGGAGCAATGTCGGGATCATGGCTTCAGTCCATTCCATGTGAAGAAAGATTCCATGGGCTACATATACAACAGGTGTGCTCACCTCTCGATACTTTCAGGCCCCCTTTCACCTTCTCAGAAGCACTAATAAAGTCTTTGTGGAACAGGATTTGGGCCGCAATTAAACGAGAAGCATTGCTCACGGCGGCAGAGGGTGTGGCTACTCCGGCGGAGATTGATGCCATTTTCAAAGACGTTCTGAAGACGCCGAAAGGCCCCTTTGAGCAGATGGACGTGGTTGGGCTCGACGTTGTGCTCAACATCGAGGAGCATTATGCAGAAAAGCGAAAGGATGTTCCTCCTGAGCCTCGCCAATATCTCCAGCAATTCGTCAAAGACGGCCTTCTCGGTGTCAAAAGCGGGAAAGGGTTTTATGAGTATCAAAGCTCGTGAGGAATCTGAACTGGGGTTTGATCTGTTGGTATAGACAATGTCAAAGACTTCGCACTGTCAAGATGCTTCACGTCGCGAGAGAGCTTTCCTATAGATATATGTATGTACCTACATGCACCTAAAGTATGTAAAGAGCCCAAGGCTGGGGGCCTCGGCGCGTGACTCACCCCCGCAAACTTGCCTAGAAGCCCTAATTCCTACTTTGGGGGGTCCCTATCTAATATTCTCTAGGCGAGTTGGCGGGGTTTGGGGCTACCTAGCCGCTTGGGTGTTTAGTATCAATAGGCTTAGGTGCTTGCCGGCGACCAACACAGTTTAGCGTCTCCCGCAAAGTTCGTACCGCATCACCACCACTTCATCTCATCGCCTCACCTTCAACACTCCATTCTCCTCCACAAACATCTCTCATGTATCGGCGTTATTGTTGTGGATCCCCGGGTTGCCATCCGCGCCATCATGTCTCAAGGAGAGATGGTCCCGCGCCGCGTCCAATTCTCTAGCTGCGACGAGTGTCGCAGGGCGAGAGTCGGTTGTGATGCGGGCAGGGCCCGCCGGAACCGAGAGGATCAGCAGGAGCTCGTGTCCTGCACGAGGTGCCTCAATCGCCAGCTCAAGTGTACATTCGAGGTTTGCCTGACCCACTGGCTGCTCTGACTGACCTTTCACACTGACCGAGCATCTTCTCCCCAACAGTGGATGAAGCCGGGTACAAGCACTGCTGTATCCAACCGCAAAAGCCAGAACGCAAAACCCAGGAGGAAACGGTCTAGGGGGTCCACGCGAGAATCGACGGTTTGCGAAGAGAACAAAAGCGACACGGCTGGCGAATCACTGCCCAGTTTCCTTCACCAACACGCAGAGAGCGCCGCAGGTGAACCATTGGCAAGGTATGCCCCAACACTTACAAGTAAATGAAGCGCTCTCCTAACCCTTACAGGACGACCTATGAGTGGGGCTGGGCTTCGGATCAACTATCACAACCTCTGCTAATACAACCTCATCTGACCCCAGAACCGGTCAGTGCTGTTGAACGCCAATGGCTTCATACCATATACGAGGGGGCGTTTGAAACCATCTTTGGATCTTGGATGGGCCGCCACAGCAACCCTTTTGCGTAAGCCCGTCACCATCGGTTAAGCCCAGAACGTCGCTGACAGCATTAGTTTTGGAGAACAGAGCCTGGCGGACGTGGTTAGTATACGACGCGTTTGCAGCGAACTCGACAGACACATCGACGAAGAGGACGCTGTGGCCAACACAACATCCGAAGCTGGAGCTTCACCAGATCTTGCCAGGCACGAGAAAGATACACAACTCAACCAATTCCTTGACCATGCCGTCCAGTCTTTCGCCGCTCGCTGGCTACCTCTGACGCAGCAACATAGTTTGCCAGGGCTATCCCAGGCAGACATCGTTTGTCGTCTCTGGCGCCGTGCGCACACAGACATGCTCAAAGTCATAAACAGACCTTCTTATCGATCTATATTGACTCTGCTATTGTTTGCCCTGACACCCATCCCGGTGGGCATATCTGAAGAAGAAGAACTTGAAGGAGTATCGGGACAAGTCTGCGTTCACGCAGCACTGCAGCAGATTCAGACACTTCGTGCACGTCAAAAGAGCCTCCAATTCAATGGAACAAGAGTCAACCTCACCAACTCGAACCGACCCATTGGAGCCAGTCCTGCCTCACTTGCCACCGCTAATTTTATTATCGCCGAGAGTACTGCGTATTGGGCAGCTCTGACATTCGACACCTCTGCCTCTTTAACCTTGAATTGCCGGCCATTGCTTTCGTCTGGGCTTTTTGGATTTGAGTCTGAGCCATCCTGGCGTATGGTGCAGACCTGTATTGGTATCTTCCGCGAAACAACGAGAGATTGGAGTAATCTTGATGTCGACCTAACAGATGAGAAAGCAAATCAAGTCATAGCGGCTGGGGCAGCATGGAAGTTGCTGGTCTGGAAACTGACCGCCAATCTGAAAGAATCTCTGCGAGATGGTCATGATGAGGCAGAGGTACTCAGGGCCTTCAGCTCCGTGTCCAACGCCATCGATCAATTCAACATCACGTACCGAGAGTTGCTCATCGCGTGTCAGCGGCGGATACAGTTCTTCAACCAAGAAACGAGACTTCGCTGGTGTAAGCCTTTCCCGTTCCTGAAGCCTTTACGAAATCGTGTTACTCAAGCTGTTTACAGATGAACTCATGCTGCACTATAATTTGGCGATTTTGATGGTCACTGATATTGCGACTGCAACACTACGGGAGGACTTACTCTCCCTTTTCTCAGCAAAGAGAGTCGATGCAGAGACCTGGGTCATGAATTGCCTCGTCTTCGGGTTAAATAACAAATATACCTTACGACTACAGTCTGAGCCAGCCGTATCCGACACCGGAATCGCCCCTATTCAGTTGGCAAGCTTGACTGTCCCCTTAATTGCGATCGATCCATATCCCCACCATGTCGTTGCAGCGGTGAAGCTCATGCAACACGCCATTGAGAGAGACTTTGGAGCCGAAAAGATTAGCGCCGATGCTTACAATAATCTGCGTTGTACCCTGAAGCAAACCTTGGAGCAACTGCCGCAAGTCTCGAAATCGGTTCAGACAACAAGAGCGGAGTTTGAGACAGCTGAATTTCCACCCCAGCCACTGTCGCCTTACACTACTAAATCGGTTGTGTGAGAACTTCTTTGACCGCTCGATCTCCTCGTCAGTTCGCCGGGCAACGGACACAACCAAATGAGTAAGATCGCTGGAGACCTGAAGAATCAACTGACGAGATCACGCCACCCCCTGTCCATATCCGACGACCACGGATTGCTGAGGCTGGTACAAGGTAACAGTATCTGGACATTCTGGCTCGGTCTTTTCAGAAGTGGCAAGTGAAACAATTGGCCGCGCAAAGTGACAATGCATTACTGTGGGTAAGGAGATCCTCATCTCTGGAAATATTTACCCACTGGTTCTAATCAGCAATAGTTCTCTACACAGCCATTTGTCCGATGGCAAATTGTGTATTTTTTCCCAACGTTTGAGTGCGGGTTGCCACGCGAAAGATGTCCTTTTGCGGTTTGGATGCAGAAGGCTGCCTCTCCCCCTGATGTTGCATCCGGATCCGAAAACAACCTTGTGCGGGAGCTTATCCGTTGGCTGAAGGCAATAACACCACGTTGGGGCGTCAGATTTGAGCTATCCAGCCAATGACAATCCCTTCTTTAGCGAATGCCTTCGGGTCCGGTCTTTTGGGCTCCATTCTCCGCCAGTGAGAGTCTTCCGCCAAGATATTCGCTCCCGCTAGGAATACCCCCAGAGGGGTATATCTCCTACAAGCACGCGGAGAAACGTGGAGTTGGCGATTGGCAGGGCCCTTCGCTTCCGGGGGCCTGGGCACATGTCAGAGGCTCACACGCAACGGTTTGACCCTGGACAGCGTTGACGTATCTATAAATTTCCTGCCGTTTCCTCGAGATTAGCACTTCCATCCTCGGTCTGTCTTGTCACACAGTCACTGAGGCTACAACAAATTTCCTAACCCAGCACTACAGTCCATCATGGCTGAGACTGATTCCGCGACGCCCCAGAAATGGTCCGAAGAGCGTGTGGAGAAGCCATCGATCCACGAGAAGGACGTGGTGTATGAGCATGCTGTATGTAATCGAAGACCTTGAGCTTCTACCTGCTCGTCGTTAGCTAACACCTCCTTGCCGCTATAGAAATCAAAGCACCATGATCCAAATTGGACTGGCGAGGGGGTGGACACCTCACACGTCGACCCCAAGAAGGTCCTACGGAAAATGGATTTGCGCCTGATACCCATGCTGGCGATCCTATACCTGCTGTCTTTCCTCGACCGAGGCAACATTGGCAACGCGAAGATCGAAGGCATGGAGACTGACCTGAGTCTTTCCGGGCCAGAATACAGCCTTTGCGCGACCGTCTTTGTGAGTTTTGGTCCCGTGCCAGTACAGCCACAGACTAATGCCAATCGTCACCAGTTCTTCACATACTGTGCATTTGAGATTCCCTCAAACTTGCTTTTGAAGCGCCTCAGGCCTTCCGTTTGGTTGCCATCCATCATGGTAGCGTGGGGTACGTCTTTTGCAGCGTTGGCAGAGAGATCATCAAGCTGACAAAGCTAGGCACGGTCATGACCTTGATGGGTCTTGTTCAAAGCTACCACGGCCTTCTCATTGCTCGTATATTCCTTGGTGTCGCCGAAGCTGGCCTCTATCCTGGTGTTGCATACTACCTGACAATGTGTGAGTAACCTCTTCTGTGGCCAGCCTTTGGCCATCTTTATTCATGACATGCAATGCTGACAGCACCTTCTCCAGGGTATTGCACCGAAGAACTGGCTTTCCGCCAGAGCCTCTTCTTCAGCGCCGCCAGCGTGGCCGGCGCCTTTTCAGGCTTACTTGCGTTCGCCATCGCCAAAATGGACGGCGTCGCTGGCGAAGCAGGCTGGCGCTGGATTTTTATTCTCGAGGGCATTGCAACTGTTGTCGTTGCCGTCGCAGCTTTCTTTCTCTTGCACGACTTCCCCGACACCGCAAGCTTCCTGACGACCGAGGAGAGGGCATGGGTTGTCCATCGACTCAAGTACCAAGGGAGCAAGAAGAGCGGAAGAATGGTCGCTGAGAGCGAGCACTTTGAATGGAAATACGTCATCAGAGGTAAGTGGATACCCTTTTCTTTCTCTCTACGACCAATGAGGTTAGCGCAGAACCTTGTTGGTTCAGCCTCGTGAGCTCAGCCTCGTGGTCTCGTTTACCAATTGATATTCAGAACACAGCTAACCTTCGCACAGCTCTGACGGATTGGCAAATATACCTGTCCCTTTTCATGTATTGGTCTATCGTCGTACCGTTGTATGGCATCTCTTTCTTCCTGCCGACAATCATCAAGGAGCTTGGATACACGTCGGCGACAGCACAGCTTTTGACGGTTCCGATCTATATCACAGCTGCAATTCTGGCCGTCATCATCGGGTGGGCCTCGGACAGAGCCACCAAGCGAGGAGCCTCACGCTGGCCCTACATCTTTTTCCCCGTGTGCGCCATTCTGGTTGGCTTCGTCATCGCCATCGCCGGTTCCGCTGCTGGAGATATCCCTGGCGTGGTGTATGCCGGCGTGTTCATTGCGACCTGTGGAATCTACCCCGCTTTTCCGGGCAACGTCACCTGGATCGCCAACAACCTCGCAGGGAGCTACAAACGAAGCGTCGGGATGGCTCTACAGATCGGTCTCGGCAATCTCGGAGGGGCCATGGCGAGCAACTTTTATCGCAGCGTCGACGCGCCCAAGTATCTGCTTGGCCACGGTCTGGAGATCATGTTTGTCGTCTTCGGCCTGGTGGCCATCATTGCTTTGCGGATCTCGTATGGAGTCATCAACAAGAAGAGAGAGCGCAGTGGGGCCGCGGAGGGTTTGACGGACGAGCAGCTTGCAGACCTCGGCGACAAGAGCCCGTCGTTCAGGTATACGCTGTAGGCTGGTCCGAGGGTTGTCGGGAGCAGTGGGCCCGCCAGATTCAAGGTGCTCGAACTGCGCGGATGGTGAGAACCCGCCGTCCAATTGAGCCTGTTCTCCAGAACTCATCCGTTTTTCTCCAAATCTCGACATTTTCGTCTTCTTTGGGCCCTGCGAGCAATTCTCAGACGAGAGGATCTCTTGGACTAGCACAGATTTATTCTATGAATCACTACGACCTGCCTCGATAGGAGTTATGGTCTCAAAATTGAACTTTTCCCCAAAGTCTCCTTAGGATCATGGTCAGGGCCAGTCAGTCAGTCATTCAGCCAGTCGTTGCTGACCAGGATTTGAGTACTTCAATCGAGGTTGCCCCACTCAGACTTATCTATCTTTACTCTGATCAGCGAGTACCTCGTTATCGCGCAACGCTATACAAATGCAGTGCGACACAATGTAATGCCCCGCGGGATCCAAGAAGCGCCGGCTTCGGCAAAGACACGGATCCAACACATAATGTAGTTTTTTTTTTTCTTTTCCCGTAGCCGGCCTGACTGATCTGGCCCCGTCTTCCTGTCCGTCCGCTTGTCTGCCTTGGTTCGTCTTGCTTCTCCACACGCAAGTTCTATTCACCCGAGTTGCGGGGGAATTTCGCAGCTACAAGTACAAAGTCCAAGCTCAAGCCGAAAGCGGGCGGCAGTCCCTCATAGCCGACCGACGGACACCATTTAAAACAACCGCAAAAGTATATCGGGGCGTCGTGCATTCCATCCCATCCCATCCATCTAACCGCCTTGTACGTACTGTGTACAGGGGAATCAATTTACACATCTGACGTGTCGGGACTCTCCGAGTAGAGTACACACATATACAAACACAAACAATCCTCAGAATAAATCGGGGTGGACTGACTAGACTCTGTCCGTTACTCGAGACTTTGCCCGGGTGTGTCTGTGTGTGGGTAGTCGACCATAGCCAGTCAGCCATTCAGCTGGTTAGTCGGTTTGTTGGTGACCGAGCCAGCGAGCGAGCAAGTGCTTCAGTGGGTCGTTCATACCCAGTACTTAGCCGAGTTAACGGAGACAAAAAGATATCAAGACAAAGGAAGAAAAGAAAACGGTCTGTCTCTCAGAAAACAAGATGGCGCAAGTCCAGAGCCAGGTTCAGGTTCAGGTTGATCTCGGAGGAAAAGGGGCGATTGTCACGGGCGGTGGATCAGGTATTCATATTTCCCACACACACACACACACACACACACACACTAACACACACATTCCCCCCCCCTTCGGTCTATCCACCACGATCAAGTGTGGCATTCTCACGTATCGACAGGAATCTGTCTGGCTTTCGTCCAGCACCTGTACCGCGCGGGATGTAACGTCCTGATCTGCGACCTCGGCCTCCATCGCGAGGCGGTGGCGTGGCTCGACTCGATCGGCCAGAGTGGTGGCGACACCATTTCTCCAAAAACCGGACAGACTCCCGCCGTTGCGTCTTCTTCTTCTTCTTTTTCTGCTTCGCCGCGTGTCGCGTTCCTCAAGACCGACGTCTCGGACTGGAAGCAGCTGGAGCAGACGTTTGAGGGCTATGCCCGCGAATTCGGTGGGGGGTTGCCGGACGTCGTGTGTCCCGGGGCCGGGGTGTACGAGCCGTCGTTCAACAACTTCTGGAACGACCGCGACGACGACCACTACCAGCTGCTGCGGATCAATCTGGAGCACCCGCTCAAGATGTCGCGCATCGCGATCCGGAAGTGGGTGCAGCAGCGGAAGCGGGGGGGCATCATCGTGCACGTGTCGAGCACGGGCGCGCAGAAACCCAGCATGCTGACGCCGCTGTACGGGGCGGCCAAGCAGGGCGTCAGCAACTTCACGCGCGGCATGGCGCGGCTGCAGGACCTCGAGGGCATCCGCGTCGTCGCCGTCGCGCCGGGCCCGACCATGTCCCCGCTCATGTACGACCACCCGGAGGCCCTGCGGTTCGTGGACCCGGACAAGGACAAGCTGTCGACCCCCGACGAGATCGCCCGCGGCATGATGGCCGTCGCCTTTGACCGTGACCGCTTCCCGCCGGGGACCGTGCTCGAGGTCACCCACCCGGACCGCTGGAGGGAGGTGTCGTTGCTGAACGACCCGGGGCCTGGTCCCCACGCCTTCACTAGCAGGAAGGAAGAGGGCATGGCAGACGTCTATGCGGCGCTGGACGCCGACAGGAAGAGCGTGCCCGGATAAAGGCTTCAGCGCACGTTTACCCCTTACCTAGTGTTCATATATTTATAGTACCAAGGGCAGACAGAAGCGCGCCGACCGACCGACCGACCGACCGACCGACCGACCGACCGACCGTGGTCAGGACAAGACTGTAGAGGGGAAATTGGTATCGGCGATTCGTGCTGGGTCCTTTGCCATGTATATCTGTGGACTAGGCTTTGCCTAGCCAGCCTCGCCAGCTCTAACGTGAGACCTGTATTCGCCCTAATAATGGATCGAGTTTGTTACTCTGCCAAGGCGTCCGACCTTGACCTTGGCCTTATCACTTCCACGGCTCGTTGAAATCACCTTCGCTTGTGAGGTTTAGCTCGTGCCACCCCGGTAGTGGGAGATCAAGCCACCGCGGACAAACCCACAAGGCGTACGCCGAACAGAACGAACTCTTTCAGTCGACGAAGTTTGATCACCACAATCCCCAGCGCAGCTCCCACCACCGGGGCGCAGAAACTGTAAAGTGACGATGTCCGAGTGGCTCCTTCAATCGTAAAATGACCAGTAACATGAACAAATAGTTGCCATACGTCCTGAAGGCAAAAGGCAAAAGGCAAAAGGCAAAAGGCGACTGATGCCGAGACAGCCAGAGACTGTTCATTGCTTGAGGAGGCGCAACACCAAACCCCCGGCCCCGCAGCCTTCTGAGCCGTTGCCGCCACCCCCGGCGACGTTGTTGGTATTCTCGGGCCAGCCGCCGACGGGCTCAAACCTGCCGACTTCTACGTCCTGGCAGGGGACGAAATGGACTTGCCAGCCATTCAAGGTCATTGACTCTGACCGGAAATTCAATGCGCGTTGCAGGGCGTTCTATGTCGCCATCCATTCCCGGCTTCAACTTCGCGCCCATTTGTTCAATGTACGTGTTTCTCTTCAACTTGCAGTGAGTCGGGACCATCCTGCGGCTTCATGCCAGCATTGATCTGGAATAGAAATTCAAATGTCATTCACAGCAAGTCCGAAATCCAGCTCATCGTACGGATGACCGAACATGGTTTGGAGTTGCAAGCTGAGGTCGTTGGTCCATTCTGCCTCCACAAAAATGGAAGGCGGGTGATGGTTAAAGAGAACGGAGAAGAGCTGCGTCGTCTCGGGCGTCGCGCCAGGGAAGAAATCGTGGTAGTCGATGCCATCCGCAATGTTCAACTCGTTTAATTCCAGCGCCTGAGCGGGCTGGCTGCCTAATATCTGGGACGACGAAGCTGTCGTTGTGTCCGGGTTGAGGCCGGTCAATAGCTTCTCGAACCCCAACAAAAACATCCTTGAGGAGTGCCACAATTGAGACATCTCCCTTAGAGCAAGGAATAGAATGTCGATTTGTGCGTTCGCGGCCGCTTTGAGAGGCTCGATGCGACGTGCATGTAGGAGGGCTAGGATGGCGATACTGATGTACCAGCCCGCTACGCCTGGGAGGAATGCAATCGAGCCCCGAGCCAAGAGGTCTTCGAAGATACGCGCAACGCAGGAAGCCGAGAGGACGGCCGCACCATATGCTTTGGGGAGTGGTTGCGTCGAAGCACTCATGTAGAGGAGAGTGATGGCCGATAGATAAGGCAGATGGAGCTGGTGGACGTTGCGGTCGAAATGGGAGGTCGTCGCGGTGCTGAATGGCAGCCTCAAGCGTGGCGGTAATGCATTCGCCCATTTGATAAGCCTCTGAGCAAGCTCAAAGGTAGATCCGTTTGCGTCGCTGCGATTGCGCAAGTGCTTGGACAGGTCACCGATGATCTCGCAGACCTGAACCCAGGATATAAAGATTTCGGCCTGATCTCGCCGATCGCTAGGAAACTCATCCAGACTGGGGAGTTTGACATTGGTATCCTCGGAGTGGATGATGCACGGGCGTCCTTGACACACCGACGTCAAGCGTTCTCTTGACTACAAGAGGGTCAGGAAGGCTGGGAACAGAAACTGAAAGGACTTACAAATAGTGTCCACCAGATACAACGTCTCAGGGTTGTTGTTTCACCCAGTCGCATCGACTGTCCCGGGGTTGCCTCACGATGGAGGCCAATTTCCTGAGCCAGTCGGATTGCTATGGATGTCCACCAGTATTGACTGTCCATACTGACAACACTGGGCGGGCCAGCGCTCCACCAGTACGTCAGGATGATGGCGACGATCCTCACCAACGGATTGCGTTCCGTGTTGCCATGGAACAGCACCTTGAATCTCTCATAGTGTACACGGCGAGCTTGATGTGAAAGTCTTGGGGGATTGATTGTGGTCCCTAAGAGCCCTAGGGCTTGTTGCAGAAGTAGGGATCGTGCGAAGGGGGATCGATCGTCAAGAAGGTCTGCACGGTGTAGGACCGGACACCAGGGGTAGCAGTACTCCACAAACGTCTCGGCGTAACTCTGTCGCAGAACCAGAGACAGCTCAGGGATGGGATGACGTGGTGTTATCAAGGGGCTGATACTCTGATCTGAGTCATCTCGGGATGGATGGTCGAACATGGACATGAATCCTGACTGTCCCAAATAGCTTCGCTCGCGATGACCTTGATGAACTTCAGGCACTGCAGCTGGCCTAGAGCCAAGGGATTCTGCGCCATATCGCTCGCTAACACCATCATCCGCCTTGCTCACGAAGGACTGGCCCGCTCTGATATCTCCCGCTTGACCATCTTTGAACACATTCTCGGGCAGATCGGCCGGGGTATAGCTGGCTCGATCTAAAGGGGTGCCTGCAACAGTATCTTCAGTAGCGGATGGTGGAATGCCGGAAGAGCTGGCACTCAAACGGTGGTGAGCCCCCCGGCGTCGGGACTGTCGAGCACTGTAGTGTTCTAAGTAAGGAGACCTCGACAGCGACCAAGCATATTGAAACCTACTAGCAACTAGAGTTGGTCGCCCGACAATTGCTGCATTCGCGGTCGGTCGTGAGCGAGCTGAGGTCACACTTGATCTGATACCGGTCACTCGGGTGTCAAACATTCATAGCGCCAATATGGAAGAGCACAAAGCGCAGCGTCGAACCTACCTTCTTCTGGTGGCATCGTATACACACCAGATTGGCTCTGCGCCTGATCTGACGGCTCGTCGGCGCGGTTATTTCTGCCATAAGTAGCTGCCGAAACGCTTTTGCTTACTGTGAAGAAGACGACGGTTGTGAAAGACTTTGCCGAGTGCACTGCCCGCAATGTCTTTGTATATGCACAATTCGCATTACCGAGTTTCCTGGGATCGAGCATGCGGGGAGTCGGCATCAATCAAAATGCCGAAAACATCCGGTTAATTGTCTTCTGCCGAGCGCACATCCAGACGGGACCTTGGCTAAACAGGATGCTCTAGCCAGAGTCCGTGCTTGTACTTGTAGATCCGACCATTGCCTTGGGTTTCCAATATTCCAGCTGGCTTCGACTACCTGTTGGGCGAGAGTTTGTTCCTTGATCGGTTTGTGTCCTTTCATACTGTGACTAGTGGAGCTGAACAGGAGGTTCTCGTCGGGTCTCGCTCATGCGCGAAATAATAAAGCCGCACCCAGATACATGCGCAGTACGCTGAAATTGGTATTCCCGTATCCATTCTCACATTGGTTATGTTCGCTGTATTGGTCCATTTAGCGACGTTGCCTTCGAAGTCAACTTGTTCGCTCGTAGGAAAGTGATGGATCGCGAAGGGCGGATCAACGTCCTTTCCCACTCTCGTATAATCTCTCCACTCCCTAGAGGCCGTGAGAGAGTCGCATCTGGTACCCTCAAAAAGTCTGTCGGATATTGTTATCTCTGATCTTTTGTGCCCCGGAGACCGATGTCACTCAATGAGTGCAAGCATTTGCATTACGCCCTTCTGGTTTCGTGTGAGTGCGAGGGGAGGACAATGAGGCTTCTGTACGGTCTCTGACATTTCCTAGAGAGTTAGCAGCACCTCATGCTTCGGACATGTGAGCATGATACTCCACTAGGCAGTGGGTGTTGTTCATGGTGAATTGAGATCTGAGGAATGTTGTACTGACTGACGAGGCTCCGATGTTACGTTTCTCTGATTGGTGGCGGTCACCTGCAAGGCTCCATCCACTCCATTTCTCCGGCTCGACGTTTGACATTTTGAGATGATTTTCGAGGCTGCCCACGCTGCACAAGGAATACCACCCACTCCAGTCGAGAAAATGCTGATACTTGGAGATAATGTCGAGCTTCGTTAGCGGCCGGATCCGCTGTGCCACTTCCTACCACTGTGACTCGAGATACGCATCCAACTGAACACTCGTTGGCGCAAGACAATGGTTGCCACCGCACTTGGACGCCTCCAACATGCGGCAAAAGGCGCGGCAACATGCTCGATTGACGCCCTACGAACACCCCGGATGGCGAGGTTATGCTCACAGAGACTAATGCGGGAAAGAGCAAGGACACAAAGTACAAACCCACAGCGCCGCCGCTTTCACTCCTCTACCGCAGGAAGTGCGAGCACAGCATCCTCCGTCTCTGCCTCCGAAGTCACACACTTCTCCCGCCTCGCCTCCTCATGGTGGGATCCTCACGGTCCTTCTCGCCTACTCCATCTGATGAACCCTCTCCGTCACGACTTTATCCGCTCGTGCCTGCAAAGGTCTTCCTCGACCGAGAATGAGAACGAGAAGAGATATTCATATCTGGACGTTGGCTGCGGCGGAGGCATCTTCGCCTCTTCTGCCGCTCGCCTCCCCACGACTTCGCGCGTGACAGCCATCGACCCGACGGCGAATGTCATACAGGTTGCAAAGGAGAATCAGCGGTCCGACCCTGCCCTCGCCGCTCCAGGGAAGCTCGAGTATCTCAACTGCGCGATCGAAGACCTCGCCGCACAAGCCAATGACGAAGCAAAATACGATGTATTGACCCTATTCGAGGTTCTCGAACACATCGACTCGCCCTCATCCTTTCTCGAAATCGCCATCCCCCACCTGAAACCGGGCGGGTGGCTCATCGGATCGACCATCTCGCGCTCACCCACCGCCTACCTCACGACGAAACTAATCGCCGAAGCACCCCTGATAGGCGTGGTACCGCGCGGCACACACGACTGGAACAAGTACATCAACCCTCCGGAACTGAGGGGATATTTCGAGTCCGGAAGGGCTCCGGGACGGTGGGGAGAATTCGTCACGCAAGGGGTCGTCTACGTCCCCGCGCTGGGATGGCGGTTTATCCAGGGCAGCGAGGAGTTTGGGAATTACTTTTTCGGGATACAGAAGCTGGAATGAAAAAAAGGAAGGAAAAGAACCCTCGTCTTTTTGGGGGAGGACCTGGCCTGGAAATATCGGGCCCAATCTACCTCCGATAACCATTCGAATGACTTATGGTTGTGGTCCTCAACCAATAGTGCCCACTATGTCCGAAGAGTCAACGACATATCCCGCGTTCGAGTATATTAACACCACTCACGCACACACACAAGCTCGATCCCATTCGATCAGCAACATGGATGGAATGAAACTCCCATTCAATCCTCGCCCCGGTACAATGCACAATCCGTATCTTGTGACCTATGACCTGTGACCACCAACAATATAGACACCACTACGAGGTACATATCAACACGACCTCGAAATCCCCACGCAGAGCAAATCATACACTGTACTATACTACCAAATAACATTGTTCCGCTATAAAAACAAACGAGGTCACTACGAAGGAAGGCAAGAGATATCTCGGATGTCCCTCGGCGCAGGAGGGAATTCATGTACATTTATTTACCCAAGAAGAGGGAGTAGAATCGGTCGGTGATACAACAAGAGGGTATTCAATTATCGAATCTAGAAACTCTCGCCACTTGTATTGTACAATTCTGTTGAGTCTCCAAAGGACCTGTAGGCTGTAGGCAAAAAGCCAAGATGTACGACGCTCATGGGCTCCATTGTCAATAGAGGTATTCCCGTGGGAAGAGGGACCTTTGAGAGTGTATGCTGGATGAAGTACACATCACCGTTCCCCACCAGCAGAGGCTAGTCTGGGCTTCAGCCTTGCCTTCACTTTTTGGCTTTTCTCTTCCCCTTCTTCTTCCTCGTGGCAGTCCCTTTGGGCTTTGCTGCTTCGTCACCGCCCTCCTCGCCGTCAGGCTCGGCGTCACTACTGCCTTCAGTCTCGACGTGCGCGGAGGTCGAAGTCGGCGCTGATGGGACAAGTAGACCCTCCCCGAGCAGTCTTGCCCTACACTCGTCGAGGATCTTCTTCGCTTTCTCTTCGTCCCAGTCCTGACTTCGAGAACTTTCGCCGAAAATGTCGTTGTAGATAGAGTGAGCTTCCTCAGGGGTATCTCTGGCGGCAGAGGATACTTGTTGTTTGGAGGTGGTTGCCGCCTGCTGTTGAGGGAGGTCTTTGGAAATGTTAAGGCGCTGGCTTGGACTGTTCAAGTCTCTTCTTCCTTTCCCTCCGCGCAAGATTCTCTTCGGAGCTGGAGCGGGCCCGGCCTCGATGACAGCGCCCTCCAGATCCTCTTGCTCCAGCTCCCCCTTCTCCACCATCTCCTGTAACTTCCTCTGGGCGGAGATCTGCATCATCGCATCGCGGTGTTCGTCTCTCAGCCCCTCCATAAGCAAGTCCTTTGTGGCGTTTTCTTCCTCCAGTTTCTGTATTGTCTGCTTCAGCTTTTCCACTTGGGTCTCCTGTGAAGTCTCGTAGTGCTCAATCCTCTGCATCAGCGACTTTGTCAACGCTTTCTCTTCTTGGTATTTTTGGTTGATGGTCCTGGCCATCTCTTCAAACTTGGCACTTCGTTTTTCGAGTCGTGCTTTTTCCTTTTCCAGCTCTGGGACAAGACCCTTGGCGACAAAGTCATGTTCGCTTTCCAGCGTAGAAAGTCTCTCAGTAGCGAGGCGACTCTCCTCTATCGCTCTGTCTGCTTTCTTGGTTGCTTCTGAGGCTTTGTCCACAGCTCTCTGGACGACTTCCTCAAAATAAACCCTCTGACTTTCCAGCTGGCTTGTGAGCAAGTGTGTGTACTCCAGTGCAATATTGTCCATTTTTGCAACCTCGAGATCCTCCTCTCCCTGAAGAGCGGTCGGCTCACGTTGTCTGCCTGGAAGTTCGACCAACTTCTCACCTGGTTTCGCGGCGTCTTGGATGATTCGATGAACATAGCCGTCGCCCGCATAGTCCCAGACCCGCTTGCTCTCGAGGTCCATACTGAATGTGTGTCCACTCTCTTCAAAATGTGCGTACGCGTGTTTGCCTTCGTACCTGCCGCACCCAATCTTCCCACATATGAGACATTGCCAGAGGCTTGTATCCACGTGGCAGACCTCACACTCTAGCGGGCCATCATATGGTTCGTACTCTCCTGCAGATGTTTTGCTCTTGAATTTAGATGAGGCTAGTCGCGATGAGAAGTCGTCATGGGTGTACCGACAGACAGGACAGCCACCGCCAGACCATTTCTCTAAGCAGGTGCAATGGAAAACGTGTTGGCAAGGAATGGTCAAAAGCCCAGTGGTTTCATCCATGCGTTCAAGGCAGACCGGACAAGTAGGCAGTTCCACAAGCGACGGGGTTCGTGGTGCAAGTGGCTTTGTTGTCGCAGAGGCTGGGATGAAAGGATCATTGGACATGCGAGGATAGCTTGTCGTAGGTGAGCTGGGCCCCATGCTCTGGTCCGCGGATGATGAAGTTTGAATCAATTCCACCGACTTAAGAAACACGACGTGACACGTCTCTGGCTGCAGACTAGTCAATATCTCTCTTTCAAGCAGCTGATGCAGGCCACTCACCTCCATGCTATTGAAAACCTTACCGTTCCATTCATGCTGCCACTCTCTTGCCTTCTTGCCGTGTCTAAACTTCATGAGGACCATGTAGCGGTTCGCTCTTGAGGTGCGCACCATTCTGAAATGGCTGACTTCCCTTCTCGTATCCTCACCAACCCACGAGAGGAAGTCCGAAGGCGTCATGTATGATGGAACCGCAAGGATGCACAGAGTTGTGCATTCCTCGTCTTTTGGTGGAGGGTGTGGTTTCCCTGACGGCGGGTTGCGCAGGCCGTCGCTCCAGAGGTCGCTTGACCGGTAAACCGAGTCCTTGTATAGCCCTGCTGTCTCTTCCGCATCTCTGTAGAGGTGAACAATACCCCATCCATCTGCGCTATCATGGCTTTCCAAGGGTTCGTATCGTCCTTTCAGGTGATGGCCCGACATCACACTACCAATCCCCTTTCCTATTATGTTTTCGCTGGCGACCGAACCCTCCTCATTCCCGCCAGAAAATGCCGACATATCTGTACTTTCAAGAATGATTGTGTCTAAACGGTGATCCTTGGGATCGGAGTGGCAGATGTCACGAGGGGTCTGTTCCGACTGCGCTGGTTGTTGTGGGCGAGTACGGCTCGAGAGGAGGTATTCTTTCTTGCGGTCAAAAAGAGGATCTCGGGATTCGCGTCTTCCTCCAGAGTTCGTGAAGGGCTTTAAGGCTCTGAAAAAGGACGACAGGGTCGGAGGCTGGTGTTGGTCAGTTTGCTTCGCTTTGAGGGTGGGATCTGTGAATAATTCAACAGCGACATGAAAGAAGTAGTCAGGCATGTCGCGCACGCATTAAGACAAAGATCACGGCGCAAATCCAGAGTCGGTGCCAGTCATTAGAAGGCGAGACCATTCATGGACCACATGCAACAAGGTTCTAGAAGTGGCAAACCAGGCGCTTGTCATTTCTAGGCACCAAGGAGAGGAACGGACTCTCTTTGAAAACCTGGACAGGAGGAAGAAGTGCACTGACAATGTATTTTTCAAATGCGAAACGATTGCATGGAGAGAGAGGGAGGCAACATGATATGTACTACTAGTAATTACCACAACTCGGGTTTCTTGTTCGGAGTTCACGTGCAACTTCGTGCCGCTTTGAATGTTTGGGCGCTTACTTCAAAATAATCTAGTCAACGCTAACCTCCCCATCCAATCCCACTGCTTTCGGTAGGGAACATATCTAAACTGTACAACGCCCCAGTATATACGAGGTACAAAGAGTGTCACAAGCACTGCAGTACTTTTGGGTTCGTCTGCATGATGGCCCAGATGGTCACACGATGGGTGCCTAAATGCACGGTCAGGATCCCTTGTCCGGTTTGGACACCTGGATGGGAAGAGAGGCCGCCGTCACTCGACGCCCAACACATCAGAAGACAAGACTCCTCGCAACCTGTCGCAAGGCTCATGATTTTATATTTATGCACCAGTAGGCAAGGTGTCACGAAGTCGCGCTTTGAAACAAGAAATGGGACGGGGGATTCCAGAAATGCTTCTGGTCATGTTACACACTTGCTCCCCCACAATGAAGCGACTGATTGGATCTGAGGAAGAGGTTGATGTTTAGTGCCTGCGCTCACGAACCTTGTTGCCGCTTCATCAATTGATCCATCATCAATCAGTCAATCAGCATTGGGAGATATGGCCTGCCTTGGTCGTTGATACGAAGCCGATGCTACCACGATTCATCTATAAACCTGGATCCTACCCCTACCCTCGATCTCTTCAATCTCACTTGTTCTACCCCGAGACAACGTGCCCACCGTCGAGCCAATCACATGGCACCATCCTCCACAAAATAAATATAGTCGCGCGGTCCCAACAAATTGGGGCTACACAAGGCTTGAGAAAGAAAATCCCTGCTAATCCTAGTTGTGGTCGTCTAGTTTGTGGACAAAGTCAATGGAAAGACTGCGGCCGCTGCCCCCACCGAGAGACTTATGCAGCTGTTACAGACATTTATTGTTGAGGTCGAAGTGCCTGTATATCAAGTGAGCTAACCCAGAGAAGGGGAAAGAAGCTTGAGTATGATTGTGGACAGGGGTGGAGATGGAACTACCCTACTCGGTACCACAGACAGGTCCAAAGATAAATGCCATGTCAACCCCCGGAGGATTTAGTGGCTGGCTGAGAGCTCGGATTGGGATAAGCTTGATATGTAGGTTCCTCAAAGCACACCTGAACCCCTCTTCCATACGTAAACAGCCTCGCTTTTCTCCCTTTGAGGTTCTGGACTCATTATTCAGCTCGCCGCCACAGACTCCGTATTGGAGGAGCCTGAAAGATCGGCGGAAAGGCATCGACTTTTCATCCTTTCGCCTTCCCTTCATAAAAGTCCATTGTTCTCTGTTGCTGTTCCAGGCCCTCTAGTCAGCTCGCCACCGCAACCTTCCGCGGCCATTGATCGTCACCTCTCAGCCAATCACGATCATGAAATATTCCTTCTAGGGTTCTGAACTCTGCAAGGCGACGGACATTGTTGCATTTGGGTTCTGAAGGGCCCTGTTCTCTGTCCGGTGGAGGGCCAGGGAGCCCGTATTCCTCTTTACTACGACAGCAAGACTTGCATCATGGCATTTCCAGAGTTGATTGTTCACCGGCTCGACCATACTAGTCAAACTATCGAAATGCGTCCTGCGAGACCAGAATGCTGTGACGGAAAAACAGGCTTTTTGCACATTGGAGGTAATGAGGTGACGGTGGCAAGCAGCATACAGCAGTCAAAAGCCCGCGGCTTCTCATGCAACACCTTCAGGCTGTGGCTAGATCGAGAGGAGCTGAAATTCACGACAAATATATGCACAAGAGAGTGTTGCACGGGCTGGTCGTTATCAACGTGCTTCCTCGTTTCGGACCTTCTTTGGACCTTGCTGGGGAAGCAGGTCCAGATGTGTGATGTGAGTACATTCAGCTGTCCGCTCTGGGGAAGGTTGATGGGCATGCATTGGAAAGTCCTTGGGTCTAGACGATGCAACCTGCCAGGCTTGCCACTATTTGTGTTTCCAGGATGCATGAGAATCAGCGAATCCGGTCTCTTGGTGCTTCATCCATTGAGCCCGTAGTGGGAGTCACGCTTTGGATCCTGGACACTTGTTAGCGAACGGGAGAGGCTGCATACTGCTGTGCTTGATCCTCGAACCCGCTACTACACTCGTCCTCTCAGCTGGCCAACTGGAGTGGCTCTTTGACCTCAATCGGTCCATGCGGACAGCAGGCAGATCTATATGTTAGATGCCATCCCCCATCCAAGGCTCGGGTGACAAGACCATATGATCAGCAATTTTTCAACATGGTAAAGTTTCAGGGCGTCAAGCAATACCATCTAGAGACTTACTGACGGTTGCAGAATCATATCTTTCTCTCCGCATTGGCTCTTCTCAGCCTTGCCTTTGCTTGGGAGGAGCAATCGGTGTTGGCTTCCACCACCACCCACTCCTTGAAACTATTCATCCGCACTCCAACAACACAGGTGCATCGCAACGCTCTTGAGACTGCAGTGTCAAGAGTCCTGGATTCTGGCCAAGTCCGTGATGCTTTGACGGGGCAGGGTAACGGGGCCCTCAACGGAACAACCCATAGGCTCCTCCACGTTGACAATCTGCGTGAACCCAACGAGAAGAATGAACGCAACAGCTTTCGAGCCGTTGTGGCAGATTACGCACATGGCAGGACGGTCTACGTGAATGTCGACGACGCCCTTGGACCTCTATCGGCTGCGTCTCTTGACATAACGAACGATCAGCCACTTCCAAACCAAGATGAACTGCTCGACGCAGCCTCAATCGCCGGGTTCGGCCCCAACGCGACCGTCTTCAGCAGAATGCCACCCCTCATACATGAATCGAATTCTGATGGGTCAACGTCTCGAATCCTTCACATCCAAGCAGGCAACGGTAGCAACGATACACTGCGCTCGTTCCACGTCAACATGTACACACGGACCGCGACGCCAGTCCAGCTCATCCAGGCACTGCCAAGCTGTTCAGGAACACCGGAGAACGAGGCTGTCATAGCGTCAGGTCGGCAGGTCGGGACGGCACACGTGACAATCACCGACCTCCACAACAATGTCCTTTGGGATTTGGAAGTGGTCAGACCTGGAGCGTCGTCCGGGAGCCTTGGCTCTGGCGTGGAATTGAACAACGTACGGTACAAGAACAAAATGGTGCTGAAGAAGGCACATTTACCGATTCTCAACGTCAACTATCTGGAGAAGTCTCCGGGTTGCGGGCCTACATTCCGAGACTGGGTGGATAGAGAGTTTCCGTTTGACTGTCCTGGTGCCGATGCTCCCGGGGTGCCCGGATTCCGCGAGTGCACGGGAGGCAGGTCCTCCACGTTCATCGACGGCAGACCCGACAACGAGGGCTTTCGGGGTGTCTCGTTCGACGTCTACGACGACCGGGTTGTCATCAGGTCGCAACTGTGGGCGGACTGGTACCGATATGTCTCTCAATGGACTCTGGGTGCCAACGGCAAGATCGCGCCGCGGTGGGGATTCGGCGGGGTGCTGCAACAGAATCGTCACTGCGTGTGCGTCAAGCATCATCACCACGCGTACTGGCGCTTCGACTTTGACATTGAAACGTCCAAGAACAACGAGGTCCGTCAGTGCGACGGCGCCCACTGCATCGCGCAAAAGTACACGGGCAACATGAAGAAGGAAACCAACCGACACTGGGAGATTGTCAACACGGCCTCGAACCGGGGCTACAGGCTGACGCCAGGCAAGACCGACAGGAAGGAGGGCGACGCGGGCGACACGACCGGCTACGGCGTCGGCGACCTGTGGCTCGTCAAGGCCGACGCCCCGGTCGATGACGGCTGCACTCGCATCGACGGAGATTGGCCCCTCGGCCCGCTCCAATGCACCCAAGCCAACTTCCAGAAGATCATGAACACCCCGGGCCAAGACGTCGCACAGCAGGACCAGGTCCTCTGGTACTCTGCGTCGTTTATGCACCACCAGGACCACGATGACCCGGCCGTGCCTCATATCATTGGCCCAATGTTGGAACCTATTGGTACATGGTGAAAGGTCCAGACATGGATGAATGGGTAGGTGGATGGATGGATGGAAGGAAGGGGGTAAAGGAAGCAAGAAAGAAAGAAATAGGGAATCTACTTGGTGAAACACAGGAAGAAGGAAGCCTGATGGCATCGAATCACTTCTTACACTCGTTTTGACCGATTAACATAATTACGAAGCGAAGCGGATGGGTGGATGGCACCCAGAGTTCATGGCTCATGAGTTCCACCGCCCCTTCATTGCAATCTCACATCCCAGTTCAGGACTCGAGTCACATAACAATCATGTTGTGAGACATCAATACCATGTCACATAGGGTTGGCAAGTCAAGTTTCGTTTCATCCTACTATCTGACATGAGTGGTAGTGCTCTTTCCACCACGTTCAAGTGATACCAGCCACATATGACCAACCTTTTGAGGGATGAACAACATCGCCATCAATCTCAAGGTTGTCACAGGCACGCGCGATCTAATTATGAGAAGAAATATTTGTTGACAAAAAACCAGCTTGCAGTTAGCATTTACGACAACTGCAATATTTGATTCCCGAGGACTATCTGTATGTTGTCCGCTGTTATGTCATAGAACCCAAAGGCATTTCCACCTTAGAAAGCCACAACGCCGCATGATTCATCGATTCCGAATTGCCATTATCGCTTACTGACCTCCACGCAGCCTCAGCACCAAGTGCAGAGTGCTCTCCTTCTGAATGTTGTAGTCCGACAGTGTTCGTCCGTCCTCCAACTGCTTGCCCGCAAAGATCAGTCGCTGTTGGTCGGGCGGAATACCCTCCTTGTCTTGAATCTTGGACTTGACGTTGTCGATTGTGTCTGAGCTTTCCACTTCCAGTGTAATCGTCTTGCCAGTAAGTGTCTTGACAAATATTTGCATACCTCCGCGAAGCCGGAGGACGAGATGGAGGGTTGATTCCTTCTGGATGTTGTAGTCAGAGAGGGTACGGCCGTCCTCCAATTGCTTGCCAGCAAAGATCAGACGTTGTTGGTCCGGAGGGATGCCTTCCTTGTCTTGGATCTTGCTCTTGACGTTGTCGATGGTATCACTCGATTCAACCTCGAGCGTGATCGTCTTGCCAGTAAGTGTCTTAACGAATATCTGCATGCCTCCGCGGAGACGAAGGACCAAGTGAAGAGTAGACTCCTTCTGGATGTTGTAGTCGCTCAAGGTACGGCCATCTTCAAGTTGTTTGCCGGCGAAAATGAGACGTTGCTGATCCGGAGGAATACCCTCCTTGTCCTGAATCTTGGATTTGACATTGTCGATGGTGTCGCTGGACTCGACCTCAAGAGTGATGGTCTTGCCAGTAAGTGTCTTGACGAAGATCTGCATGATTGCGGGGGTGAAGGATGAAGCGGATGATGTTGTATGTTGATGAGATGATGAAAGATCGCGCAAGGGAGTTGATCCTTTGAAAAGGGTGAAGTTGGGAGAGTTTGGTGTGAGTGGTAATAAAGAAGGGAAGATGAGGAGGAGAGGAGAGAGGAGCGGCTTAAGTAGTAGGAGTAAGTTGGGAAGGCGGCAGGCGTGGGAGCGCAGGCAGTGACAGAGTGGCAATGGACAGGTGGGGGAAGGTGGACCGCGGTGGCCGGGCCAATAGAAGGAGGAGAAGGAGGGTGGCTAGGGACGCTAGCAACCCCCAGAAGGCAACCGAAGCCTCTCACCTGCACTAGAAGCGCAGGCATGATTCATTTCACCAAACAGCCGTCGCCCAGGTGAAAGGAGGACAGCATCTTAGCCGGTATCAAACTCAATCTCTTGACTCTCGACCACGCCCGCGTCCTCCCGCGTTGCTGCAGGCTTCCCCTCTTGGTTCAATCTCAATTTTCGTTGTCCGCGTGAGCAATTGCCACGGCTAGGGAGCCCAGACACCGGAGGCGGTTATCTCCTCCCACCCTCTTATCACCCACGCTCTGTTGCTCATTGCTCGATCTCTTGCGCAATCTACCGGGTTCCGGACCAAGGGGGTCAGCCAGAGTTTTCCCAAGGACTCGCCTTCCGATGTTTTCTCTTCCAGCCTTGACAGATTCTGGTTTGCTGATAAATCCACGGTTGCACCTCAGTCGGTCCTCAGTCGGCCTCGTGTTGTTTGCCTCCCCCACAAAATCAGCCTGAAGGCCCCCAATGACGTTGGTGGCCGACGCCAACGGACGCCCTGCTGGTGGCCTCCATCAAAGTTATGACTCAGCGCAGTTGTTGCCGCCACTGCCACCACTGCCACCACCAACTACTGCACTCGTGCAATATGGCGTGATATCCATAGCGACCGAACATAATGCTCCTGCCCGACTTGAATTCCTTGGCTTCTTTCCGGGCTTTCTTTGGATGTAAGAAGTCAAGAATGTCATGGCCATGGTTAAGAGTGCGATATTCCTTCAGCATTGGTTTTGGATCCATCTGGTAATACATATTTCTAGCAGCCCGCAGATGTACGATGTCGGTACTCTTGAGAACGGTGAGCGAAGATCTGAGAAGAATGAATGGCATATGGTTTGAGATATTGGGGGCTTCAAGAACCTACCAAAAGCCAGGAGGTCCAGATTCTATATGCAGCACCACAATGCTTGTCACAAGCGAATAGCTGGACATTTTTTGTATCGATCACTATGTTTATATCGTCAAAAGCTGGCTTAAAACACAAGTACTGCTTTCCTGAAAGAAGTCGAGATCCTCTACAACCTCTTCTCTCCAGGTGACTTCATCCCGTCAGCGCTCGGATCACAGGATACAACGAATTCCACTTTGGCAGCATTCCTCACAAATCTAGCCTCGCCACTGGGTTTCCCGGGTGCTCAGAAAATGTTGTTTACTTTCCTTGTGTGGTGTACATCTTTCTCTCATGCCTGTCACTCCTTTGACAAAACTCGAGCGTTCACAATGTCTACCAAGATTGCCAATGTCTCTTACAAGCTCTCCTGACTGCTTGATCCAAGCAGAAGAAAAACCCTTCAAGATGCTTTTTCCAAATATCCCCGATGAAGGCAATTCCTTTGACGACTTCTTCAACGAGGAGATGTACAGATTGGACGGCAGCGATGAGGAAAACAAGGCTCATCCCGACCAATTCGAAGCTCTTTTCGCCGACGCTTTCAGCCAAGATGAATACAAGCTCCCGACTCTTGATGCTTCAGCGGCGAAGGTCGAGCATTCACCTCCTCAACCATGGCGCAAGGGCATATGGTGTTTGAAGCAGCGACAACAGCCTCCTAGGCTTGCAGTGGAGAAAACACGCAGAGCAGAGACAAAGCGGACAGAACAAATGCAAACAATGAACACCATGGGCCACAACTTGCACCATGCGCAAGGTCCCGTGTCGCCGCTGGAGCTTTCATCGCCCAGCCGAACAAAGAGATTCGTCACCTCGCCCGCTGCTGGAGCATTTGACCCGACCACGTACGTTCGGCCTCCCTTCTCTCGCGAAACCACCTTGTCACCCAGCCCGATGTATGCACAACTCCCAATATCGCCGCGCGCCGGTCATGGCGATACCAGCAATTGGCAACAAGACTTTCAGAACTTCCACCTGCGCATGCCTTATGAACGTCCATTGCAGCCACGCCCCGCCGTAAACAAGCAGAGCGAACAGGGTCGCCCCGCCCGCGACATGAATGCAGCTATAATGAACCAGAATCACGTCGTTACCAGCCAAGGCTATGGATATTTTGATGAGTACAGAGGTCTAGGCCCTGCAGAAGCCAATGCCATTGATCCAGCGCTGCTCAGCCCAGAGTATGAAAGGCCACAACTCGACCAGCAGGCTTATGGATCTGACACGTTCTTTCTGCACGACCAACATGGCATGCAGGGGCAAAACTCAATGCCATCACCAACCAGCACAAGCCTGCCATCATCGGGTAGCTCAACCCATTCGCAGGGGGTTAGAACGCATACCTCGAATACAAACCTCAGCATGCACTCAAAGGCTGTCTTTTCACCGCCCGCAATGACTGCTCATCCTCCGCTACCGACACTGGCACCAGAAGAGTCTTACCCTGCATTGGCTGCTCCCACTCCGAAGCGGGTGCCTCGTCCGATTCTGCACCAGCCGAATGATAACTCGCTGACAGGACTCGGAATCCACTATCCGGAGCTGGAACAGATGAGCCAAGCCGTGCTCTACGAGCCACAGGCCTATCTTGCACCAGCGCCTGCCCCTATTGGTGTTGCCTTGCCTTATCCTCCTGCAACCATGGTACCCAGTCCAATGTATTCTTATCCACCTCTGCCACCGCCTCAATCCCACCTCTTTCCCGACCTCTCTCCTTTCACCACACCTCGAAAACAACGACAGTCACCATCCCGATCACCGTCGCCGTCAGTGTCACCAACAAACGTCAGTCCCCGACGCAACCCTGCGCGATCGCCAACCCGCAGCGTCACCGACTACAGCCACAGCCGACGGAAATCGATCCACAAGTCAGGGCCCATCAAGGGCAGTGCCACACAAGATCCACTTCCAACGCCACGGACGAGATCGTCATCTCGACCTCCTCGGACGCCAAAAGCTCCCAAGACGCCTACCGGCGGAGGGGCGGTGATTGATTTTGTGAACTTCACGCCCAAGGATTCTGCAAAGTTGCTGAGCGACGTAGCACCTAGTGGAAGTTCCAAGACTAGGGCACGAAGAGAACAGGAAGCGAGGGAAAAGAGAAAGAAGCTAAGTGAGGCGGCACTGAAGGCGGTCAGAGTCGCGGGGGGAGATGTGGCCGCGTTTGAAAAGGCGATATTCACGTAATGGATGTAAGGGGCGTTTGAAAGTCAAAAGGCACGGTCCCCGATTCTGTAAGGAACTGGGTGGTGCTTTGGAGATGTTGATTTTCTGTTTAGCGTTGTGTCCATTGATTTCGTGCTACCTGCAAAGATCCAGGGAAACAATGATTGCTGATCCATTGTGCTGGGAATGGCGAACTCTTACTGTAACACTTGAGAGGTTGTTGATGGCTCTATGCAGGGTGGCACAAGTGATGCCATACCCCTCGAATTTACCAAC